CCACCTCAGGGGTCCTGGCCTGAGCCCCTAAGCGAAAGCTCGACCCTCTGGGCCTGGGTGAGGGCGCTTAGGCTCCCCCACCTTGCTGTTGGGACACCTTGGACTCTCAATAAATGTTTGCTGAATGAACGAAAGAAAGGACTAAGCAAGGAGGGGCGGAGGGAGGCACGGTTTCGGGCCGGCCAAGCAGGCAGGCTAAAGCCACCCCCACGGGCAAAGCTGCTGGCAGTGGCTACTTACGTTGCAAGCTGGGCCCCTGATTTTTGGCTTCGCCCGGGGATGTATTTTTTCTTGATGTGTTTCTAAAAGTTTCAACTGAATGCATTGATTTGGGGGCAGGAAATATGTTCGGGTGGTACACATGGGTCTACAGTGAAAAACATCCTTCCTACCTCCCCCTTCCTGACCTGGCTTTCCTTCCTGGGAGAAATAGCGCTCCCGGTTTCTTGAGAAGCTTCCAGAAATATTCTAGGCTTAATAAATCTTGGCTATTCTCATCTTTGTGGTGGCTGTGTTGATTAGCTACTCCTGCAACCAGAAAGCCTTGCTCTGGGAGAGAGGAGAGGTGGGGGAGCCCACTCTGTGCGGTGGACGGTCAGAACCAGCATGCCTCCTTCTTCCCGGTGGACACCGACGCCCGGGAAGGGAGGCTCACTCTGCGGGCAGGCTCTAAAGAAGGTCTCGCTCTTCTCAGGGACGCTGGCATCTTGCTTCCGCTTCTCCTCAGAAGGGAGCCCGCTGACTCTCTCCCCAGGGCTGTCAATGTTGCTCTTCCTTCCACGCAGACGGCAGGTTCTGTGGAACTGCTTATCAGAACCGCACCCCACCGCCCCCCCCCCCCGAAGCAGGGTCATCAAAATCAGGAGAAAGAGAGAACGCAGAGCCGCTGCTTCTGGATGCTGGATGGAACTTCACTAGGTGTGCGCCTTTCTAAAGAGGGACCCCCAATTTCTCATCATTTGAGAAGAAAGTCCTGAGCAGGGGCGTGGGGAGGGAAGGCTTAGGAACCACGACTTGAAAGGAAAAGGAAGGTTCTAGAATGTTCAATAAAAGGCCATCAAACGGTTTGCAGAGCCCTGGAACATGGTCCCCTCCAATGCTAAACTAAGTAAGGGGCTCCCTGGAAGGCTGGGTGAAAAGGGAGGTCTCCGAGGGGCGGGTAGGATGGGTGTGAGAAGCGCTGGGGACACCTCAAAGGACATGTTTGTGTGGGGCCTGGGTATTAGTGGCTGTATGTGTGTGAGACTGGATGAAGGTGTCAGAGGCCTGAAGGGGCCCGTGTGAGATGGGCTGGGGTGGTGCAGGAGGGAAAAGAAGGGGCCGCACCGCCTCGGGCTCCTATGGGCAGCAAGGCGCCTATTTGAGAGGCACTGGGTGTGTGCACGTGTGCGTGTGTGAGTGCACGCGCGCGTGTGTGAGTGTGTCTGCTACCAAGACACCCACGCCGCCCCACCCCCCCCCCAGCGGAGGAGGGAGATCGTTATCTGGTCCCCTAGGTGCTTCAGGAGTTTCAGAGTTTCTCACCAGCCTGCTCTCTCCCCGTCCCCACCCCAGGACTTGCCCCCTCCAGCCTCTGCACAGGAAGTGGGCTGGCCCTGGGGTTTGAGTCTTTGCCGGCCTCATCAGCCAGCTACTACCTGGGCTGCCGCAGTCGGGGTTGGAGCAGGGCCCTGGGGAGATGGCTGTGGACCCAGCAGTGGAGAGATCCCGAGAGCGTGCGTGGCATCCCCATGTTTCAGCCAGGTGACTTTGCCCTCACTCTGCCCCCGTCTGGTTCCCGGCGACCTGGGGGGGCTCCCTCTCGGCCCTGCCACCAGCCCGGGGCTGGAAGTGAAGGTCATGGGACAACTTTCAGCTCTCACTTAGATGCCCCAGGAGATTCTGCTGGAACTTCCATCTCCGAGCCCTCCCGGCCCCCAGCCTTATCTTGAAATCCCTCAAGGGTGAGGCAGGTCCTGATCTCATGGCTTTGGGCTTGAGAAAAACCTGGTCCCTAGTTTTGGGCTACCCCTCTTTCCCAGCCCATCCCTGGGGAAGCTGGGGGCTGCTCTGGGACGAGGGGCCTCCCAACCCAGAAGGGGTGAGGAAAGAGGCAGGAAGACTGGGAGGGGGGAGGCCAGCTGAGCCCCAGACGGAGGGCACTGGGATGTGGGGTCGGGGGACACGCGAGCCCCCTCCTTGCGGCTGTGGAAGGGGACCCACACTGGGGAGGGACCCACACTGGGGAGGCATCCCTGTGTAAAGTGCTCCTTAAGAGGCTGTGGGGTGGGAGCGGAGGGAGGGGGCCCCTCTGAGACTTGGCCGTGAAGTAGGGTTGCCTCCTCTCCGGGAGCCCTGGGTGGGGGGGCCAGACCGGCATGTTTGAGTCCGGATTTGTCCCTCCCTTGGCCGTGTAAGCGGGCAGGTCAGTACTGTCTCTAGGCACCACTGGAGGGGATGGGACTCCATCTCTGGAGCTGCCCTCTCTCCTGGGGAATGAGGCCTCCTGCCCTGAATGGTGTTGGGAGCACCGCAGGGGTGGGGTGGGGTGGCTGAGGGGCAGAGCCACTTCTGAGGGTCCCCCTTCCTAGTCCCACAGCCGGGACTCCGAGCTCAGCTGGGGAGATGCTCCTGGAGTTAAAGAGCAAGGGGCCAGCCCCCCCGCCCCGCCCGTCTGCCCACCACCCTGTGTGTGTGGGAGGGGGTCGCCAGGAGGACCAGGGCGATGGCACCCATCACGGCCAGCGGTCTGGCTGCCGTGCTCCTGCTTCTGGTCCTCGCCCCGCCCCCCGGCGCCCCACGGCCCACAGTGTCAGCCCCAGCGGTGGCGGGAAATCAGGCGGTACTGACCCGGTTCAACCCCCGGCTCGGCCGCACTCTGGCCTGGGCGAGAGGCTTACCGGCCTCGGTCTCCTCATCTGAGAAAAGGAGTCATAATGGTACCTACTCCCAGGGTTGCTGTGGGGACCAAGTGAGGTGATATCTGCTGAGTGCTAAGGACCTAGGCACAGAACGAGAGCCGAGTATTAGTCACCATCCCTGTCACCATCATCACCATCGTCATCGTCGTTTTCCCCGTCATTATCATCTCCTCACTTGGAATCAGATAACTGGCTTTGAGTCCAGCTCCCTGGGCAGCGCTGAGCTCAGTCTTGGCATCTGTCAAAGGGGGGTGATGATAGCCACCTTCCAGGGTTGCGGTGGGGCCCTCACGAGTCAGTGAGTGTGGTTGTGCAGCCGTGAAGGGCAGGGTGCGTGGGTGTGCGTGAGAACCCAGGACCTACGGTGCTTAGGACTCAGAGGTCCTGCTTGCTCTCCCTGAGGCTGGGCCCGTGGCCTTGAGCAGGTTCCTTAGCTTCCTTGGGTCTCAGTGCCCTGCTCTGCTGGAGGGTGCAGCCTCAGCGCCGGCCAGGAGCCCTCCCGGCCCCGACCGGCTCTGGAATAGCCCATGCTCCCCTCCCTGTGCCCTTTGCAATTGTGATGTACATCGCCGCACCCTTTCTGCTATGAGTGGCAGGCAACTCATTTTAGACAATGCTTCTGCTCCAGCCAGCTTGCCTCTGCTGGGGCTGTGGTTTGGCCTTGACCTTCCTGTGATCTTGCACGCCTTTGCCCCAACCCTCCTCCCCTCAGCCTGAGGCTCTATACCAGGTCCTGTCCTTGGCATGGGGTTGTCTTGCCGGCTGGTGCTGGCCTGGGGTGACACCCTCCAGGGAGAGGATAGTGCCCATGCTCCAGGGCCATGACTGAGTGAGTAGGGGGGCACAGGAGGGCTTGCTGGACCCCTTGAGGATCCCAGTGCTGTGCCCTGTGCTGTGGGGGGGGTTCCCAAGGAAAAAGGCAACCAGCCCCCATCCCCTACCCCCACTGGGGAGCTCCCGCTCCTGTGGGGATGGTGGGCCAGGCAAGGAGGAGCCCATAGGTACCTCTCTGGGCTCCTTTTCGAACCCAAGCCAGACACCTGACAGCTGGCCTGTGCCCTTGCTGGGCCCTGACTCCTCGACTCCAGGGCCCGGAGGCTGTTGGCCTTACCTCTGGGACCAGTGCCCGGGACAGGGTCTGGGCAGGGCCGAAGGACATGAGGGAATAGGCCCTGGGGGCGAGTGAGCCGGGAATGAAATCCCAACTCTGCCTCTTCTGTGCACGTGACCTTGGCAGGTTAATGACTCAGAGCCTTAGCTCCCTCATGTGTGTGAGGGGATAGATAATGCAAGCACCCAGCCCCCAAGCTGCTGGGAAGAGAAGATGATCTAGTGTACGTAAAATGCTGGGCACAGCCTGAGTGCTCAGGACACCCCACGAGTATTGCTGGCACATAATCAGTACATGAGTATCGAGCATGTCAACTGTCTCGGTGGTGGGGGAGGATATAGTCAGAGAAGTTACAGGAGCCCCTCCCTGCCCGGGCTCTGGGCTGTCTGCCTTGGCGCAGATTCCACATCTGCCTCTTATCAGCTGTATGACTTTGGGCAGTTTGCTTTATGTCCCTATACCTCAGTTTCCCCATCTGAAAATGCAGATAATAAGAGTATCTCCAATAGAGTTCTTATTGCTTCATTTAAAGAGTTTAAGTCAGCCTGGCATCTAGGAGCCTCCCGATGAGGGCTTTAGGTGTGATTAAGGGGGCAGTAGGGCAGAGAAGAGGTGAGCTCTAATCCCAGCTCTGTGCTGGCCTCCCTATGTGGACCTGAGCAAATCTTTCCTTTTTCTGGGCCTCAGTCTCCCCAGCTTTTGAACAAGGAGGTGGGCTCACTCAGAGAGCCCTTTCAGCCCTGACAATGTATGGTTCCCTGAATCCCTAAAGGAAGGAAGTATGTGTGGGGCCGAGGGACCAGCAGGTGCAAAGGCCCTGAGGCTGGATGGTGTTGGCTTGGCAGAGAGCAGAATGGGGCACCCTGAGATGGGCAGGGCTCAGCCTGCCTCTCGGAGTGGTGAGGGACCTGGAGCAGGTGTTCACTTGTGCTTTCTCCCCTTCTTCCTCCCTCTAGGGCTCCCTTCCCCAGCTCCCACCCGTGGATGTGATGGCAGCTCCTGGTCTGTCCTGGTGTCTGTCCCTCCCTGTCTTCCTCCTGGCCCTGGCCATCCCTCGTGGATCCACAGCGGTGAATGGTGAGGACCCTGGCATCTGGATAGCTGCGCTTTCTCTTGGGAAGGCGGCCAACACCCTTGTAGAACCCCTTTCAGGACCCGTGCTTCTCGGCAGAGTCCTGTCAGCAGGGGCAGGAGGCAGGGGAGGAGGGAGCAAGGGCAATGGGACCAGAGATCAGGCGTCCACCTTCTCCCTTGGCCCTTCTGTCCTGTCCCTGCTGCACCCCGGTGTCTCCCCACGCCAAAGGAAGACACTGGCTTTTCATGCCCGCTCTGCCTCGGCCTGCCCATGGGACCTTGCAGGTTCTGGGGCTCAGTGTTGTCCTCTCTGAAATGGATCCACTGAGTTCCTTTCTGCCCAGCAGGGTTGTCTCCCTCCTTATCTGGTAGGCACAGGGTGCAAGGAACAGGGTGGTGGGCGAGCCCTGGGGGGCTGTGGACACCCCGCGGCCAGCCACTCAACGCCTCATCTTGTCAGCAGACACTTCCAAGCTCACATGCTTCTACAACTCAAAAGCCAACATCTCCTGTGTCTGGAGCTGGGATGGGGACCCGCAGGCCACGTCCTGCAAGATCTATGCTCATCCGGATAGACGGTTAGTGTGGGGTTGACCAGCAAAACGGCAACATCTCAGGATTGGGAAGTGGTGGTTCTTATCATCACTGGTGTTTAGAATCTTGGGATTCCTTACTGGTAGATGCCAAGATGTTGCACTTTGAGAATTTGGACCGATAGGACCCACAGACTCTTGGTATCACAGAAGTCTGGAAAATGTAGCAGTCTGATAAGTTTAGATTCCTAGAACCAGGGTGGAAGTGAGCAGTGGGGGTCCAGTCTACAGTGGAGGGGCCGGGGACGAGCTAGACAGGGTAGTTTGGGGACACTGGGCTGTGAGGCTGATGGGCCAAGGTTAGAGTCGATTTAGAAGCAAGGGGGTGGTCGGAAAGGGTGCTCCCCAAGCTTTTTGCGAGACTCCTAGGGCAGCTGTGGGAACAGGGGCCTGGGGCATGGTTGGGAGCCTGGGGGCTGGGAGGGAGTCTGGGAAGGGTCTGCCATGATCTGGACATCCTGGTGGCAACAGCAAAGGTGCCTTTGGGTTTGGCCATGGCCTTGGGTAGGTGGTGATTCCACAGGGTTCCAAAGGCTCCTTCCAGCTCCATGGGAAGACTATGGAGGGCTTTAGGTGGGGAGGCCAACATGTCCTGAACTGCTTGTTTCTCGAAGATCACTGTGGCTACTGTGGGCCCAGGCTGGGGAGGGCAAGAAGAGGTGCTCGTGATGGGAGGTGAAACAGGTGGGGGAACGGGGGTCTCTACCAAGGTTGGCATAGAGCCCCGCACAGACTGGCCTTGCTGAATGGGGAGCCATCCCGAGGGCTGGCTCTGGGGGTCCCTCCTTTTGTCCTAAGAAGGTTCTTTTGCCTTGAAAGGCCTTGGAACAAATCCTGTGAGCTGCTCCCGATGAGCCCGGCATTCTGGGTCTGTCACCTGATCCTTGGATCCCCAGATGTGAGTAGTGGGAGCTGAGAAGAGATCCCCGGGGAGGGCAGGTGCAGAGGGGGCTTCTTCCAGGGGCAGAGCCGGGGCCCAGCGAGCCCATTGGCTTTAGCTACAGACCACGGCACAGCAGCCTGCCCGGAGCAAGAGAGGCGGAAGGAAGCAGGGCAGTGTCCAAAGGCCAGAACTCAGGGCCGATTGGGGGTTGAGGGATCTGTGGTCTGAGAAGCTCGGTCATTCTGCCTCTGCTTCACCGCCTCCCCCATGCTTTGTGCGTCCTGTGACACTTCTGTACTCCTCATTAGGTGGGGGGCGCCCACCAATGACAACACCCCCTCTGACTCTTCCCAAGGTCTTGGCAAATGCAGGGCAGCGTGGGCTTAAAAGTGCGGATCCCAGAGCTGAAGGTCTGGGGGCCAGCCCTGGCTCCGTCGTAACACCCGCTGGGTGACATCGGGCAACTCCTGAGTCCTAGGCTGCCCTTCTCAAAATGCAAGAATGATGGCACCTGCCTCATAGAGCTGTCCTGTGGGTTAAAGCACTAGGCACCCCACGCAGAACAGAGCATGCACTTGACTTTGTAGTCCGTGGATCCTTGTGACTTTGTGGGTGCGCCCCAGCACTGTCCCCTTCTTATCAGTGAGGAAACTGAGGCTCAGAGAGGCCCTGCCAGGGAGGGGAGAGAGCTGCAATTGAACCCTCTAGATGGGCTGCCTCTAGATGGGCGTGCGGCCACGTCCATGCGGGCGTGCACCAAATTATTATCTGTCATGCCCTCCTCGGCAGCGGCGGACACCAGGGCTGCCCAGACCACATTTTCCAGCCGTCATCAGGTCGTACCCATTCTTAAGGGGCAGGAGGACGTGGAGATGGGCTCACACGGCTGGAACCAGATGGCTGTGCCTGTCCCCGTGAGCTCTGCAGAGGGTCTGCCTTCAGATCCTGGCCGCACCGTTTCCTACCTGTGCGACGTCAGGCAAGGCCCTAGCCTCTCGGAGCTTCAGCCTTCTCAGCTGCAGGATGAGAAGAGCCACAGTGCCTGTCCCATAGGGTGATGGGAGAGTTAAATGAGAGAACGTGTGTCCAGCACGCAGAAGAGCGCCCGGGACAGAGGAAGAGCCCAACACAATGTATTCCTGGCATCTTTACAATGACTGTGATCATACTAATAATGATGATAATACCATCATTATCTGGAAACATCAGGCCCCCAGAGCAGCCGGACGCAAGCAGGGGCAGGGTCCTTGGGGTGGAAAGAGAGGAATTATTCCTAGCTCTGGGGACTCTGATGATCAGGTTCAGGGTTTGCTCATGGTAGGCCCTGTGGCAGGTAGGTCAGAGGGACTGTGCCCGGGGTGCTGGAGCTGAAAACACCCTCTCGGAACCCAGAGCACAGATCTGGAGAGGACCTGAGGCCCAGGGCCGTGGCTCTGTCGGGGCAGTGGATGCAGAGGCCTGGCTTTGAATCCGGACTCCCCTGCTGACCACATGTGTGACTTCGGGCTTCTCACCTGCATAATGAGGATGGATTGCTATGAGAATCAGCCAGAGAAGTGCCTAAGGCACCTGAGCAGTGCCTGCCAGCAGGAGGTGCTCACCGCCTGGCCATTTCCTTCCCAAAAAAGTCAGGATGTGGGAATGGGGAGAGATAGGCTTTCACACTCAAAACTATTACACAGGTACAGTTCCAGACCTGCCTTTTCTTGGGGGCTCATCCTGCTTGCACGTCTCTTGTGATGGGGAACTCCCTCCCTTCCAAGGCAGCTCACTTCACTTTAGATCACGGGTCAAATTCCGCTTGCTGTCTGTTTTTATAAATAAAGTTTTATTGGTACACAGCCATGCCCATTCTCCTACAGGGTGTCTCTGACTGCTTTTTACAGGCCAGCAACAGAACTGAGTAGTTGTGACCGAGACCGTTTGACGTGCAAAGCTAGAAATATTTACTCTCTGCACCCTCACAGAAAAAGTCTGCTGACCCCTGCTTTAGTTGGTGGGGCTTGTGAAGGCCCCCGCTTTTGTTGCGGTCGTTGTCTTCCCTCTCCCCTGTCCTCCCCGCCCCCCATCCCTACCATGTCCTTCCCTTGCAGGCTCAGAGTCTGACTGCAGCTGACGTCATCCACATGAGCGTGATGTGCCGTGAAGGGGAAGGGTGGAAGACGCTGATGACCCAGTACTTCAAGCCCTTTGAGAACCGTGAGTGAGGAACTGGGGAAGGGTGGGGGGACTGGGGCGGGCTAGGAACCTCCTGTCCTGTCTTTCTGTCTGGGACCCTCCCCATTTTGGTCTCTCTCCATACCCTCTCATACCCTCATACACAGTGAGGGCCCGCTGCCCTCGGGATGTAGTCCTGGCTCCTTCCCCTGGTATTCGTAGCTCAGGATCTGGCCCTGGCTTCCCAATCTAGCACCCCTCCTCTCGTGGCCTGTATTCCCATCACAACCAAAGGTCAGCTCTCTGAATTCAGCTTGCCCATCCATGCCTCTGAGCCCTTGAATTTGCGGGTGCCGCAGCCCGGAAGGCTCTTCCCACCAGGAGAGTTCCCACTCACTCTTCAAGGCTCTGTGAAGAGTCACCTCCTCCAGGAGGCCTTCCCAGACCCTCTCAGCCCATCGTACCTCCTCTTTCAGGGTGTTTATGTTTTTTCAGGGTCCTCACTGCCTGATTCTGGGACTGTCTCCTTCACTGGGCTGTGAGCTCCCTGAGGGCAGAGCGTCTGCCATCCCTACGTCTCTACTCCAAGTACCCAGCCCCAGGCCTTATCCTGGCAGGGCTCTGGGAAGGTGTTTTGAATGACTGGGTGCCCAGCCCCATCCCCAGACCATCTCTAAGGGAGGCCATCTCTAAGGGAGAAAGGGCGAGATCTAGGCAGGGTTCTCAAGGCAGCCCTGCCTTAACTGAATGTGGTCTGCCCAGCAGATCATTTCACACAGCTGAGCCTCAGTTTGCCCATCAAGAATGGGGAGAATCGGTTATCTGCCGGACCCTGGTTGCTGTAAGGAGTTTGTGAGACAGACACAGAAACCGCTTAGCACATGCTCAATGGACATTCACTTAGTGTTATTTGTGTAGTTCTACAGAGTTCCAGAATTATAAAAACTTAGGTCAGTTTAACTTCAGAATCATAAAATCTTATAATCCTATAAGGTTACTGAGATTCAATTAAATTACACGAGATGATCCATGTAAAGCTCTCAGATCCATTCTGGATGCAGAGAACCGCGGCCTGGACTTTTTTTTCATACAGCAGATACTTAATCCGGCACCTATGACGTGCCAGGTAATGCTCCAGGTGCCGGGGATACCTCGGAGAACACAGTCCCTGCCCTCACTGAGCTCACGGTCTGGTGGGGGAGACAGAAAATGAACAAAGAACCCCAAATAGATAATTTGATATGTCAGGTGGGGCTAAGGGCTGGGCAGGGAAATAAAACAGGTGAGGGGGTAGAGAGTGGTGGGTGGTGGGGAAAGGCTTCTCCACGCAGGATCTCTGTGGGGGAGGGCACCCAGAAGGCAGAGATAGTAGGTGCATAGATGAGGCGGGGTGTGTCTGAGCTTCATCCCCTCAGCAGGGTCACCCAGCATCCCCTGAGCTCACTCTCCCTTCCTCTCTCCTGCCTCAGTTCGCCTGATGGCCCCCGACTTGCTCCAAGTCACCCACGTCGGGACCCACAAATGCAACATAACCTGGAAAGTCCCTCAGTCCTCCCACTACATTGAAAGTTACCTGGAGTTTGAGGCCCGGACAAGGTCCCCAGGCCAGAGCTGGGAGGTGAGTGCATGGCCCGGCCCGGCCCTGCCCGGACTCCTCTCCGCTGCCCCGGTCACCCTGTCCATTCTTCATGTCAGCAAGGCCACGGCAGCCCCCAGGCAGCCCCTGCCACTCTCCTGTACTGCCTGCTCTGGCCTCCCCCTCCCTGTATGTGCGCCTTCCCCTCCCTGTATGTGCCCCCGACAACCCAGGGGTTCCAGCTGGTGGCAGATGCCAGAGCAAGAATTTACATAGCTGAGGGGCAGGTGACTACCCTCTGAGATTTCAGGGGCCCTGGGAAGCCACCTGTCCGTGCTTCAAACCCCGTGTGGTCCACAGCCACTGGGGTCCGCCACTTCCCCACTCGCTTCCCCACCCCGGATTTGCTCACTCAACACTTACTGAGTACTTACTAGGCGCTGGGTGCTGGCTGGGTGCTGGCGCATGCTGGCCACTGAAAAGAGAGTGGAGGGCGACACTGACAAGCTTCCCGAGCTCCGGAAACTCACATGGGGGGTGGGAAGGCAGTCTGCAAACAGGGAGACTGGAGACTATGGGATATTGAGAAGGGCTATCAAGGAAACGAAATGGGATTCCACATTCGGGAGGGCCTGGGGCAGGCTACTTCAGACTGGGGGTGCCACCGAAGCCACGACATGGCCTGTGTGTCTGAAGGATGGGGGAAAAAAGCGAAAAGAGTGATCCAGAGGTGGGAGAGGTCCCTGGAAAAACGCTCTTCCTGGTTGCGTGGCAAATAGACAGACTGTAGCAGAGTTGAGCTGGAAGCTGGGAGACCAGCTCCTGCCTGAGATGGGGGGGAGGAGAGAGGGGAGAAGGGGAAGGGTCCAGAATCGGTTCTGGTTCTGCAGGTGAAACCAGCTGGTTGGCAGCAGGCTTTGTGTGTGGAGGATGAGTGAGGGGGAGGGGTTCAGGATGCCCTTGGGGCTTGGGGCTGAGTGGTCAGGGATCGTTGGGGGGAGAGTAATGGGGGGGGCGGGGAGGAGAGTGTCTGGCGGGGAGGAAGGAAGGTGTTATCTGCTCAGCCTCCCAGTCAGCCCTGCCATGGGAGGTGAGGTGGGCCGTGGAGACCCCTCTGCTCTGACAGACCCCCGCCTGTCTCTGCCCCAGGAGGCCTCCGTGCTGATCCTCAGGCAGAACCAGCAATGGATTTGCCTAGAGACACTCACTCCAGGCACCCTGTATGAACTTCAAGTGCGAGTCAGGGCCCACCTAGGCAGCCACAAAGCTTGGAGTCCCTGGAGTCAGCCCCTGGCCTTCAGGACGGCAGGTACCAGGGACAGAAGGGGTAGGACGGAGCTCAGATGGGAGGGGACGGCTGGGGTGTGGCCTGGGGGCAGCCGGTGGGGGAGGCCTGGGAGTGGGGTACAGGGCTCAGCCCCAGTCGTGCTCACCTGCTACTATTAGTTCACTCGCTATGACCCTGCAGAGTGAGCAGTGTGGCCGGGGCGGGCAGCTCGCACCTGGAAGCCTCAGTTTCCTTATCTATAAAGTGGGTATTGTGCTCCCCGGCAGGGCTGCTGTGATGAGGCACGCGATGTCCCTTGTCAGCCTGTATACAGCAGGTCTGCTGGGCCAGCTGGGACCTGCGAAGGCCTTGGGTCTGAGGTCGGCCTGTCCCTCAACGCCAGGGTGGCAGCAGGGGGATGCTGGAGTGATCTGGGCGAGCAGGGGCGCCACTCTAACCCCTTTCCCTGCTTCTCCTCCCGCCCCTGGGTGGCCTCAGGGAAGCAGACTCTGCCCTTTCTTTGGTTTGGCCAAATCATCATGGGCTTTAGCAGTGCCTTTGGCTTTATCATCTTGGTCTACTTGTTGGCCACCTGCCAGTACATCGGACCATGGTAAGAGCCCTCCCTTCCCGCTCCTTTGTGCTCTCATCTGACACACACACCCCCTGCCAGGTCAGGCCCCGGGCTGAGCCCCCTGCCCCGACACACCAGTGCTCCCTCCGCCCTCCCCAAAGTCCTCCTTGCCTAACACCTGGCTTTTCCTTGCCACCCCAAAGATGGAAGCCCAGGGAACCAGCCTGAGGGGAGCAGGGGCGGGGGAAGCCCCATGGAGGCCCCGCCCAGAGCATTACTCTTGGGTGTTGAGTACACATACACACATGTGTGCAAATGCCAACTCTCTCTATGTGTGTGTCCTCATGGATCTCTCTAGGTCCCGGCATTCATCATTAGCTTATTCCTTTATTAGTTGAGAGCGCCAGCTCAGTGCCAGGCCTGGCACCGAGTGCTGGGAATACAAGGGCAGACCACATGCGTGCGGTTCCATCTTTATGGAGCTCATAGTCACGTGGGAGGAGGCAGATATTTATAAATCATACACAAATACAATGACACACCATAATGGGATGGTAAAGGAAGGTACTCGATGGATTGGAAACAGACAACGGGGAGAGGAACCTTGGCTGAGGGGTGGCTGGCAGAAGCATGCCCAAGGAAGTGATGATTCCCTTGAAATCCGAAGGAGGAGCTAACCAGGCAGGGTGGAGGGGGTGGGGAGTGCATCAGAAACAGAAGAAACAGGGTGTGCAAAGGCCTTACATGGGAAGGAGGGAGGAGCATTACAACAACTGAGAGTTCAGGGAGGCAGGTGTGGTTGGAGACCAGAAGGGGTGGAGGAGAGGGCTGACCTGAGCCTGAACATCTAGACGGGGGCAGTCAGGCTTTCTGGGGCCTTGAGGCTATGACCACATTTTGAGGTAGACGCATATAGATACTGGGGAACTCAGCTTGGCAAGCAGAGCATGGGTTGGAATTCAGCACCCACTCAATACCCCCCTAAAATCAGGAGCCCTTAGGCAGTGCACAACCTGAACCACCATCCATGAGAGCCTGGACAAGACGACACACAATCTGGCCTCTCTCCTACCTCCCGCCTCCTCGTTCACTCTACTCCAGACATCTGGCTCGGTGTGGTCCCTGACCACTCTGGTTCCTGTGGTCCCCCACCCCCACATCCTTCTTTGGCACAGCCCTCTGCCTTTTGTTTCCATAGAATGAATGGTCGTGTTGCACCTTTGGTTCGTGTCTGTCTCCCTGTTAGAATGTCAGTTCCTTAACATCAGGGACCTTCTCTGTCTGCCATTCTTATGTCCCCAGGACCCAGTCCAGTACCCTCCCTCACTGGGAATTCACTTGGTATTGATCCAACAGATGAATGTGGAGTGGCTCCGTACCCTCCCTTCAGGGCTGTGGGTGCCGGCAGGATACCGTGGCCCCCTTCCCTTCTCATCTTCCTTCTCTCCCTCCTCCTGCCCTGTTCAGGCTGAAGAAGGTTCTGAAGTGCCACATCCCAGACCCCTCGGAGTTCTTTTCCCAGCTGAAGTCAGAGCATGGAGGAGATTTCCAGGTAGGAGTCTGGGGCTGGAGGAGAGAAGCAGGCAGCTGGCTCAGGCTGGCAGGGGCGTGGCCAGAGGTGTGAGTGGGGGGGGGGGTGCACAGGAGGAGTGGGTCTGCACTTTGTGAAAGGAGACAAATAGCGAAGTGAGCGGCCTCTGGGCTGGGTGTGGGCCCCTTTCCCCAGCTCTGGCACCAACCTTCTCAGGCTGAAGAGTACCTCCCGTCTGAGCCAGACTGCCTGGGTTCTAATCCCGGCTCCAGCCCTTCCTGGCTGTGTGACCTTGGGCGCGTTATGGAATGTCTCTGTGCTAGTTCGGGGAGGGAAAGGGTGTTACTATGTGGATGGGCCCGAGATCATGCCTGGCGCACAGTAAGTGCTCAAGGGGCCCTGGCTAGAATTGCTGTCACCGGTCTGTTGACTGAGCAGGACTTGCCACTTCTCCACACCCTCCCCCACTCCCTGCTTGTGCAGACTCTCTTCATGGGCAGTGGTTCCTCTCCCCCCCTGCAGAAAGCCCTAAGTGGGCTCCACAGCCTATCCCCCATGGTCACAAGTCCTTGAGCCGCTTCTCATCAATTGATGTGGAGTCACTGGGAAAGTGCTGGCCCAGATTAATAGTAACACTCTGAGCCCCATTTAAACCTCAGTCGCCTCCCCTCCCTGAGCCCACACTTGCTTCAGGAAGGAAGTGTCGAGGGGGAAGGGGGTTGTGGTGGGCTGCTTCTATCACCTTCCCCTCCCCAGGCTCTCTAGATTTGGCAGAGGATGAGATGGGGGTGGAGGGAGATCAGCAGGAGCACGGAGGGGCTGGAAAGCCATACTGGGCCAGAGGTGTCAAGAGTTGGCTTTGGAGTTCTCTATTATGGCTGATCAGTGCCCCTTCTGGAATTCTTTGGAAAACTCCCAAGGCTGGGGATAGCTTACCTACAGTTCTCTTGATGTGGGGGAATGTATCTCCTTAAAATTCTTCCTAAAGCCCTAAAGGTAGTGAGCGCCCCATCAACAGAGGCATTCTAGCAAGCCTCGGCTGACTATGTGTCAGAAATTTAGCAGAAGGGATTCCTGGTTGAAGGCTGGACTAGATGCATCCTTAGTCCTCTTCCAGGGTGAAATCTTTTTGATTCTATGGGACTAGGACATTTTGAGGTGGGGGTGGGCTCCATCATGGAGAGGGACAAACCACTCCATCTTCCCAGGAGGTCATCCCCATGTCTAGATGCTTGCTCCAGACCTAGGGTGTGGAGAGGGTTTCCCAAGGAAGCCCTGGGGAGGCACAGTGTGGTTGGGGATTGGGCCTGGCCAAGAGGGACCCCACCCTCTCCTCTGCATCTGGGGCGGGGAGGCCTGCTCCTCTCTCTCTCCCCCAGGACCTCTGGCTACCAGGCCACAAGGCCCACTGCCCCCCTGTCCATGGGACCCGGGCGTATGTGTGCCAGTGTGTGAGTGTGTGTGTGAAGAGGGATACATTTCTCTTTGCACCTGCCTCCCACCCCCACTTCAGGGCATTGTGGACAGAGGCCCAGGCCCAGGAAGTGGCTGACCACGCACACCTCTGAGAGGGGCCAGTGAGGCCCTGGCACACCAGTGCTGGCCACAAGCCTGGCCTCTCCTTCTTCTGGTTGCATGCCCAGCACCACCTGCCTAGCCCTGCCCCCTCCACTGCCTCTTCCAGTGCTGGACCCTCCCCGCCGCCCACCCCGCCGGACCTGCACTCTCCCTCTCTTCTCAGCCTGCTGGGCACAGGAGTGTGGGAGGAGCCCATCGGGTCCGGTCCCTGCGCCCAGGGGACCCCAGTCCAGCTGCTGAGGGCTCCCAGGACAGAGGGCTGTTGGGGTTCTCAACTGTAACCACCCGAGGCCCCCACTACACCCCCTGAGGGCCTGCTGTCCCTTACGCTTCTGCGGGTGGTCTGCCTTTCACCCTGGGCCAGGGACTTCTGCCTTCATGTTCTTATCTGACATCCTCCTGCTGGCCCACAGTAAGGAAGTTAGGAAAGAGGGGGCTAAGTGTTGTGGAATTGAGGCTCAGAGAGGTGCAGTGACCTGCCCAGGGTCCCACAGTCAGTGAGGACCAGGGCTCTCCAGACTCCAGAGCCACCGGGAAGTGCTCTGGTGGGCACTTTCTTCTCTCTGTGGAGGGACTGTATGGCAGGTGGGGGCTGCACGGCACTGCGGAGGGGGGTGGAGAATTGCAGGACCATCCGCACCCACCAGAGATTTTGTCAGGGAGCCTGTTCCCAGCCCTGCCACCGCTGGCTGTGTGATCAGGACCAGGCCACGTCCCCTCTCTGGGCATCTGTAAAGTGAACAAGATGGGCTCCAGGGCCCTTTCGGCTTTGACACTGGTTTGTGGACTCCCACACTTGTGCTAGCCCCCACCAGATGCACAGAGGCTTTCCCCTCTGCCCGGTGCCTAGCGTGGTGCCAGGCTCACAGCAGGCGCTCGAGAAACAGTCCCTCATCCAAACAACACATCCCCTGGGCATCTACAGGAAGCACCCTCCCTGGGCTGACCCCGAGCGTTCCCCAAGCCGGCTGGGGGGGGGGGGTACAGTCAAGGAGGCCTTCCTGGAGGTAGCGGCCCTGAGTAGACTGTAGTTAGGAGTTGTTGCCGAGAGTCTGGAGGAGGCACCCCACTCACGTTCCATCTGCTCTCTCTACTGGCAGAAGTGGCTCTCCTCGCCCTTCCCCTCGTCATCCTTCAGCCCCAACACCCAGGCAGCCGAGATCTCCCCGCTGGAGGTGTTGGACCGGGACGCCAAGGCCACACAGCTCCTCCTGCTGCAGCAGCAGAAGGGGCCCTCACCCTCGACCGAGACCAGCGGCCACTCGCTGACCAGCTGCTTCACCAACCAGGGTTACTTCTTCTTCCACCTCCCTGACGCTCTGGAGGTCGAGGCCTGCCAGGTGTACTTCACCTATGACCCCTGCACAGAAGAGACTGAGGAGGGCGGGCCCGGGGCGCCCGAGGGGCCTCTCCTCCCGCCCCTCCTGCCCCCGCCAGGGGAGGACGACGCCTACTGCACCTTCCCCCCAGGCGATGACCTGCTCCTCTTCTCTCCTGGTCTCCTGGGTGGCCCCGCCCCCCCCAACCCCGCCCCAGGGGGCGCTGGAGCTGGTGAAGAGAAGCTGTCCCCCTCTCTGCAGGAGGGAGCTCCCAGAGACTGGGCCCCCCAGCCCCTGGTGCCTCCCACCCCAGAAGCGCCTGACCTGGGGGATAGCCAGCCACCCCCGGAGCATGCCCTACAGGAAGCAAGAGGGGAGGTCCCAGCCCCTGGCCCTGGGGAGGGGGTCAGCTTCCCCTGGGCTAGTCTCCCTGGGCAAGGCCAGGTCAGGGCCCCTACCTCCTGCCTGACCCTGAATACTGATGCCTACCTGTCCCTCCAAGAGCTGCAGGATCAGGACCCGGCTTATTCAGTGTAGACGGATGACCAGGCAGGTCGCTGCCCACTGCTGTGCCGGGCCCAGGTGAGGGCTTTTTGTCCTCAAGGCTTGTCCACTGCTGAGTCACCCAGTGTCTAGCTACCCCCTGGACATCTCTGCCCCAAGCCCCCCCCCCAGCCCCCCCGCGCCCAGCCCTGCACACTCAGCTGTTGACTTCCAAAATCGTCATTGCTGCTCCCTGGTTCCATGGCCCAAGCCAGGAACTGCAGCGTGTGGGGGCACTGGGACTCCCCTCATCTGCAGTGGAGTCCCATGGCTTTTGCCTCTAAAGCATCCCTCCTCCCCAGCCCTGCAAGGACTCTTCACGGAGAGTTTTTGGGGTTCTCCAGGGGTCTTCACTGTGTCCTCCTCCCTGGGTTTTGCGCCCCAGTCACCCCCTCCTGCCTATCCTCCACAGGGCGGCCAGAGTGAGCTCTCCGAACCACAAATACAGCTCTGCTGCCCCTTGTTTAAACCCTGCCATGGCTCCCTGCTGCCCTCACACCACTTCTTGGCCTAGCTCTTGCTCCTCCAGCATCATGCTGGGACATTCCCTTCTGGAACCCTCCCAGTGGTCCTGCTGAGCCACTAGCAGCTCCCTCACGCCCCCACACCTTTGCACATGCTGTTCCCTGTACCTGCGGTGCTCTCTCCTCCCTCATCTAGGTGACAAACCCTCTTATGCCTCAAGGGTCTGTTCTGCTTCCCTTGAAGGGAGATACTGCCTCCATTAATGTGCCCAAACTTCGAGATTCAGTGCCCAAGGGGGTTCTCAGGGTCATGGGATGGCTGGACAAAGCGGCCCTGGCACTTCACCCTTGGGATCTCTTGTGACCTCGGCATGCTTAGCTCCTGGGTCCGTGCCACTGTGGCCCAAGTACGGTCGCAAATCCCTGGGGAAAGTCGACACTGGCTGGATCTTTCCATAGTGGTTTCACAGACTCTGGAGGCCTGCTTCTGGAAAGTAAACCCCTCCTAGTGGCAGGTTCTGAGGCTGTTAGAGAGAGTCTAGACCTTTACTGGAGGGATCGCTAATGCAGCTCAGGGGCTGGCACCCCCACACCCAGAAGAGCAACTCGCTCACCGCACTTCACGGTGCACTCGGCACCCTCATCGTATTCCCTGGATGAATTAATGAACTATCTGGGACCACCTTGCTTGGACTCCCTGTGCCCGGCTGCCTTCATACAGGGGGCATCATCCCCCTCTGAGGTCAAGACACAGAGAGGCGAAGCCCCACGCTCACGAGGTTCCAGAATGCCCATTCCAGCAAGAGGCTCGTCCCCTTTCATGGCCATCCTCCCCGCAACACAAACACAGACACACGCAGCTGGCCCCTTCCTTCTCGGTGCTCACCACCCCCTCTCCACTTCTCTTCCCTCTGTCCCTGGCACAGATCACACCTGTGATGTCTGCCACAACCTTCCTCTCACACTAGAAGCCCGGGCGAGGAAAGGATCGTCCCGGGTCACCGAGCTGTGAGCGCGCTGTGCCTGCACTTATAGGCCCTGCGCCTAGCTGATTGGGTGGGTACCTGACACAAGCCCACCCATAGGCGGACAAGCCCCTTATGGTACCTGACACAAGCCCACAGAACAGAAGCTCCGCCCGATCAGGGAGGCCGGGCCTGAACTGGCCAATCAGATTTCTCTCAGTCTTGAGCATTTGAACTCAGGGAAAGAGGAAGGTCCCTGGGAGCAGGTGCCTGGGGAGAAGGCGCTCGGAGAAACCTGGGGAGGAGGTCAGCCCGGTTAGCAGAGGGCATCGGGCTCTGCTACCCAGACTCCTGCTGCCAGGGGGGGCTGCTGACTGTTCGCTCAAGATTCTTGTTTTCCTTATGCCCGAAATAAACTCCCCTTTCCTGAGGGTGTCTGAGTCTTGGATCCTTACCACGGAAGAGCTTAATTACCGGGCTCCTTCCCACCTCCAGCCATACCATGCCATGTGTTCCGGGCCAAGAGGCTCCTCAGTCCGGGCCTGAGCATCAGACCCAGCTCAGTGCCCAGACCCTTGCTCTGTGTCCCAGGGCAAACTGTGAAACCTCTCTGCGAGTCAGTTTCCACTTTGAAGAATTCTTGGGACAGTTACATTTCTCAAGCCTCGGGCATTAGTGCTATATGTATTTTCAATGACCTTTGTGGGCCATCTCTGTTATTGTTTCCTTAATATTTTTCTTCAAATCCATTCACCTTTTTGTTTAAATACTTTTATTTAAAAAGAAAAATCTTTGTATTGCTTCTTTAAATGGAAAAGCTGATATTCACTATAAATAAAAGGTAACTATAAAAAGTAAATACAATAAAATAAAATGTCTCAATTCATTGCCTGATGGAAATCTGCTCTCTTAGTTTAAAGGGGAGATAAGCAAGTGTTGGGAAACTGTTGAAGACATTCCAGCCAGCACCAAACGGTGAGAAAGCAAAAAGATTGTAAAAGGAATATCTTTTTTGCTAGTAAGAATCAGGTTTATCTTATTCTGTGTCTGGGCACCATCTGACATGGTCTCATGGGAAAATAAAAATAAAATATAAAAATATAATTGATATCTATATTCAATATAATATAAATTAATAATATAGACAGAATACATAATAAATATAAATAAAATGAAATAAATATAATTTTAATATAAATAATATATAAATAATATATTTATTATATATTTTATGTATATAATTTATATATAAAATATATAAAGATTATATATTTTCAATAATTATTATATATAATTTATACATATAATTTGTATATATAAATTATATTAAAAATCATATATATATATAATTTTTTTTCTTCTGTGCCTTTGACTGAATAGTTGAACCAGATCATGGATGGCAATATCTGGCATTCATAAAGGGGCACCGGTGGCAGACATCACTAATCAATTGCACCCACTCATGGCAGACATTGCTAACTGATCATGGCTGTCCTTGTAAAGTTTGAGGACAACTTTAGATTCTGTACGCAGGTCCCAATTGATCATAGCTGGCACCTGGTGACATAGCTGGACTGGATCATCCCTCAGGTTCCTTCTACAACGGAAGGTCTTATCTTTCCAGACTGATTTTCCAGGCAGGGAAAACTGAACCTGAGGTGTTGGAGGCTGGAAAGCTGAGAGGGGCCTATGAGCAGGCACGCCCAGGGAACCCAGTTGTCCCCACTATGTCTGACAAGAGACTTGAGCTGGCGGTGAGCAGAATGAGGGGCCGCCCTGCACCAGGTAGACTGATGGGCCAGAAGCTACAGTGTGACGTGTCCAGGGTGGATTAGAGTTTGTGCCTCGGGAGACGGGGTAAGGAGGGAGCAGCTGGTAGGTTGGGAAAGGGTGAAGCAGAGACAGTCCTGCCTGGGTCAGATTGCAGGGAGAGGAGCAGCACCATTTGGGAACAAGGCAACCAAGGGCCCTGGGAGATCTGTCAGCCAGGGCAGATGGCGGGGGGGGGGGGGGAGGGGTGATAAGAGAAAAGGAGGGAGAGGTGGGCGGCCCTTCCAGCCTCTCAGATCTCCAGTTTCTTTTTTTAAAATTTTTTTATTTAAGTTCATTTTAATTAATATGTAGTGTATTATTAGTTTCAGGGGTAGAATCCAGTGATTCATCAGTTGCATATAACACCCAGTGCTCATTACATCATGTGCCCTCCTTAATGCCCGTCACCCTGTTACCACATCCCCACACCCCCTCCCCTCCAGCAACCCTCAGTTTGTTTCCCATAATTAAGAGTCTTTTATGGTTTGCCTCCCTCTCTGTTTTCATCTTATTTTATTTTTCCTTCCCTTCCCCTATGTTCATCTATTTTGTTTCTCAAATTCCACATATGAGTGAAATCATACGGTATTTGTCTTACTCTGACTGACTTATTTCGCTCAGCGTAATACCCTCCAGTTCCATCCACGTCGTTGCAAATGGCAAGATTTCGTTTTTTCTGATGGCTGAGTAATATTCCATTGTACATATATATATACACCACATCTTCTTTATCTATTCAACTGCCGATGGACAGCTGGGCTCTTTCCATAGTTTGGCTATTGTGGACATTGCTGCTATAAACATTGGGGTGCATGTGCCCTTTTGAATCACTATGTTTGTATCCTTTGGGTAAATGCCTAGTAGTACAATTACTGGGTCGTAGAGTGGCTCTATTTTTAACTTTCTGAGGAACCTCCATACTGTTTTCCAGAGTGGCTGCACCGGCTTGCATTCCCATCAGCCGTGTAAGAGGGTTCCCTTTTCTTCACATCCTTGCCAACATCTATTATTTCCTGAGTTGTTAATTTTAGCCATTCTGACCGGTTTCTCATTGTGGTTTTGATTTGTATTTCCCTGATGATGAGTGATATTGAGTATTTTTTCATGTGTCGGTTGGCCATTTGTAGGGCTTCTTTGGAGAAATGTCTGTTCATGTCTTCTGCCCATTTCTTGACAGGGTTATTTGTTTGGACTATATGGTTTCCTCATCTCTCCAGGCATCTGGTATCCCTGCTCTCTCCCCACCTTCCAGCTCCCACTCCAAGCAACTTCCAGGTCCACAGCCACTGAGCAAATTACGGCGGAAACCGTCCATCCTAGGGTGAATAAACTATTGCTGCCCTCTTAAATATTAGCATCCTGGATGACTTCAAAAAAGATCAAGAATTACATTTAGACACTGTGCCAGGTACTTACCAAGCATTATCCTTATCACCTGAAAAGACCCAGCCAGGCAGGTGTTATGTTTCCCCATTTTGCAGATTTGGAAACTGAGGCACAGGGAAGTATAAAAATGCAGCTGATGGTTGGTAGAGCCGGGATTCCAGGTCCCATACATTTGGCCACAGAGCTTTTGGCCCTTTGCAGACACGGGGCTGCACGGGAGACGATTATATTAATGGAAAAAAATAAGCAAAATTCCATCCTAAGCTTCCTGGCAACCAATTAAAAAATGAACACAGCAGCTTGCTTGCCATGATTGCAGTTGTGGTTGAAACCATCGGCACCCTTGTGACCCGGCAGCATCGCCTTG